CTACAAAACAACCAACCAACCAACCAACAATCCAACTAACCAACCAACCAACCAATCAACAAATCAACCAACCAACCAACCAACCAACCAACCAACCAACCAACCAACCAACCAACCAACCAACCAACCAACCAACCAACCAACCAACCTACAAAACAACCTACAAAACAACCAATCAACCAACCAAACAACCAACCAACAAATCAACCATCCAACCAACCAATCAACCAACCAAACAACCAACCAAAAGAGTTGCTAACATGTAATCCTTAATAAAGCTAAATCAACGCTGCTTTGATAACGTTTTTGCAGGTATGGTTCTCAAACCGACGCGCCAAAGAAAAGAGAAACCAGCCTGATACAGAGATTGACTGTGTCACACAACACACCTCGTTAGTGGGCGATTCTGGTCCTCCATTTCTGTACTGTGGACACTGCTTTAAACAGCCTACTATGCTATCAACGTCAAACTATGGTCCATCAAGGCTTTTCTTTCCACCGGGTTATAACAGACCAAGTGGATAATACGCTTACATAAAGATATAGCGTAAAACGCAAGCTATTGCGTTAACTTTGAAATATGTCTTACGTAAAAATATAACTTTTAAGTTTAAAAAAGGAATTTCTAAACAAAGGCCTTAACATAATGAAGGAATAGCCTTGAGTAAGGAAATATAACGTTAAATAACATCAGAGCTAATCATGCGTTCACTATATAGGAAGACCCTGGCTAAAATAACTTAAACTTGCAACTTTATTTCAATATAATAGACCTTTATTACAATAATACCTAAGACATATGAAAACGAAACGACGTGCCGAGGAATTGTTCTTTGCAAAAGTACGTAGTCTTTAAAATTCATTCTCTTTTATATAAAAAAGCGGGCAAGTTATAATGTTTCGAAGAGAGTTTTTTTCTGGCGAAAGACCCTTCGAATAAATCAGGAAAAATTCACAACCTGCTTCTCAAGAACTATAACTTTCTTTAATTTCTATTTCTCCTAGTTCCAAGCTGTCCACATATTAATATCATTCTCTTTAAACAATAGAGTAGTTTGAACTGAGGGCTTTTATGCTGTGACAGTTGCCCGCGGAATCTAGATGTTCCGAAAAACAAATACTCGCCAGAGAGAGCAGTTCGAGGCGCTTTAATGAACATCGATTTTTCAAGGTAACTATCACAGCAAAACAACAAAGTTTTCTGAAGCGATGTGATCTATATGCACTGACAGTAGACCTGCGCAGCGGGCACTATGGCGTCACGTGGTCGACTCTCGACCCAATAAGATCGGAGGCCAAAAAATCCTGTCCTCTGACATTTTGCTTCGTGTCAGGCTAGTTAAGCAGCAATTGTTTTTGAGCCAATTAGATGTTATTTTAACATACCGTTTGCCATTAAACTTGCTTACAGACTTACCTTATACTTAATGCACCAATACACCAGTTTTTGATCAATTATAGAAATAAAATGCCATATTAAAGATGTGAGTAGTTTGCCTCTGTTAACTTTTTTTTGACAATACACCTTTTCAGTTGCTCTTAGGCCTCGATAGCAAGTAAATTATTTTTTTGAATTTGCTAATAAAGACTAATTCATGTCAATGTACAAAAGAATATTTAACACGCTGTCGAGGCCTAAGAGCAACTGAAAAGGTGCATTTTATGGSCGTCGTTTCTATCGATACACCGAAAATCATTGTGTGCCGTGAACGGAAGCGGGAGTGCAATTTGTAATCACATGTTTGATTTCAGACCAAAATTGCACGACACGAAGTTCATGCAATTACCACTTAATTATATCCATTTTGAAATCTAGCACATTGTACAGTATAGAATTTTATCAATTCGTACAATAATACAATATTTCCTTCTCAAGGGAGTGTGATTAGGAGTTCAAAATGGTGCGATTTAGGCTGAAATCAACCTGCTAAGAACCAATCAGATTGTAGGATTCACAGATTTCAAAATGGATATAATTTATCGCATAACCACATGTTTCCACACATTTCTGTTTTTTAAAAAAGGTGTAAATACCTTTCCACAACTAATTTCTCATGTTATCGCTCTAAAGCAGAAATCAAAATTGACCTCATAATTTGCGACGGAAAAGCGTCGCAATCGATTCCCCCAGAGTCTTTTCGGTGTCACCATGCCGCTGACATTAGTCATGATATCTCTGGGCTCAAGATTGAGGTCATTTAGTGTTAGGTCGGCGTTGTTCGGCGGCCATTTWAAAAAAAAGGAACTATTTGGTGCTCTCTATCTAGACACAATTGCAGCAGCAGGCTTTGTACGCTTAACAAGTTTTTAATACTGCATCCAATATTCATTGTGGAACCTTTTATCTCTGAACTTTCGATCGATGTCTCTCTGATTCGTATCTAGTCTCTTCTTAAGTGTTGATATCATAGCTCTAGGTAGATTTGTATCGCTGTTCACTGAGAGGACAGATGGCATTACAGTCCAACCTCTATTCAACGGCCCTCTATTTATCGGTCACCCTCCATTAAGCGGTCACTCATTTTATTGTAAAACGTGACCGTCTGTTAAACAGTCGACATCTATCAAGTAGTCACCTGGTCTTTCCCAGAGTTGGTCGATTAATAGAGGTTCGAATGTGGTTGCTTCCTTCTTTGTGTTTTTCGCCGGGTATTCAGTATTTTGCGCAATATCGAGGTGTCCGTTGTAGCGGGGTGTCCGTAAGGCGAGAGTTGACTACTGTATGTACAAATGGAAAATAACGGAGTAAATTAACGTAAATCTAAATCTCAGGAGGAGCTAACGGGGTCTGTTCTTCTAAATGACTATTCTTGTCTAATTTTTTCCTGGGAAAGGGATTGAGCTACATTGTTGACAACCTCACAATCAATTATGGCGCCCTTGAAACAATAAAAAAAGTAAGATCTCGAAACTGGAGTAGAGTGGTTTTCATAAACCCGTGAAACAAAGTGTAATAATTAGAATGCAATAGATCGTAATAGTCGCGTAGAGACAATAAAAAAAACAAAAGAGCCAAAGTGTAATAGCGATAAATACGTGTGTTTCACGGGTAATGAAAACCACTCTATTGAAACTGGCGCTTTACTTGAATAACATGAACTGACAAAGTAAGCGCGGGCGACAGGTAAGTTAGAATTTTTGTATCTCATATCTATCAGTAGTCTCTTTTGCCTCGCGAAACAGTGTGACAGGGATACGTGCTGTAGCGAGATATTCCTAGCCGTTTTAGGCGGGCTTTTTTAAATGAACATATTCAGCCTAAAAGACATACACTTTACAATAAAAAGTTGCATAAATGTATACAAGACCAGTATTACAGAAATAGAGGTCACAGGAAATTTCATGGTATATATTGTCCACTAAGAATTGAAAGTGTTTTGAAAGTGATCGTGAAAACACTGTCGTATCTCGTGTACATTGAAAAACGGAGTTTTGCTTTTCTTTTAGTTTTGTTAAGGGACATTTACACTTGCGTTTTTTGCAGCACGATTCTCGCGGCGATCGTCGTGCGATCTTCGAACATGCTTGAAAATTGGCTGAAAATTCGCGGCGATTTTCCATCGTCGCAACAATCGCAGGGCTGCCTATACGTACGATTTGAGTTGCGCGATAACAAAGTGGCGATTATATCGCACTGCAAAAATTGCAAGTGTAAACCGGCCTTTAGGCCAAACTCCTAACTTAATTTTTGCCTAACCGAATTCAAGTTTCTATTTATGAACAGACGACAGTCATTGAATCATTTTGAGGCTTATATTTATTGCCATACTTCTTTTGCACTAGGCTATAAATTTGACTAGTGTCCAATTCTCATAATTGTTTTTAKCTGATACCTTTATAAGCACACAGTTTTTACCTTGGGCTAATACCTAAATACCTTGCTAAATACCTTGCCTGTAAAAGCTCTTGGAAACTTGATTATAAAAGAAATTTGAACAACGAAGTTCGGCGTTTGACCGTGACCTTGAMGTCTTCATCAGTCACCTGCACACTGAGCATGCTCTGTATGGCAAGGCGATGTATTTGTGTATTCGCCTAGATGKGAGAATACAATTTGAGAGCCGATTCTCTTACCAGAGMGCCTTTCTAGGAAATAGAAAACTTTTCAAATATCTATTTTTCATGCGAACAGATTGGAGTTTTAATAAACAAGAATGGAAATGAAGTCAGATCATYGAAAATAGATTATTAGGAAAAGTATAAGATATTAAAAACTAGAGAATTGAATTTAAAAGCACGGAATCAGCTGTAAGCCAGAAACGGAGATTGAGTCAAAAATCATTTTTTATTGAGACATTTTTGGTTAAATGACAGACCACCCACMGAAAGCTACAAAGTCTTAAAAACTAAAAAAAGGAATCAATTATGTCTTCTTCCTTTTGTGTTTAACATTAAATCACAATTCGCTGTTTTCCTTTTATCTTGATTTAAGTGAAAAAACAAGCAAAGTCATTTCTTAGGCTTCACGCAGCTCACACAAAGTTTCACCTGCGTAAAGATCATTAGAGATCCCTTAAAATGTCATTTATCTTCGGATTTGCGCCAAATACTTCAAAGCGCATCCTAAATCTAAGAAGTTAGTAGCTTCTCGCAGAGGGTTGCCTCGACATAAGAAGAAAATCAACATTAAAATGTCTAATGTGAGGGGTATGTTAGGCTAATTTTCCATTGTTTAAGTATGTGGTTATTGATCACATTTTGACTTCTTATCTGGGAACATTATGGAGTAATGAAAACGAATCTGTCATTTAGGGAAGGGGCCGTATCTCAGTTTGATACCCATTAAGTACAGTCTGTCTGTCTGCAAAGGAGAATTACCTCAGGCTTAAGTTAAAATCACGTTTTCCAAAGACTTGTTTTGCAGTAATAAAGTGATTGCAGCAAATAAACAAGTTTATAAAGTAGCATATAAAGTAGCAATCTTTAAAGTTATGAAATTTAAGTGTTATAAAATCTTTAGTAAGTTATTGTCCGTCTACTATGTAGAGATAAAAGAATATCTAGTCCAAATATTAAAAGTATAAAAAAGTAAGAGCAAAATAGTGGTAATTGGCGCAGTATAGTGTGGATTTGACAATAGAAAACAAAGGATTTTGCATAATTCACTAAAGTTAATCAATATCTAATTACTAAAGTGCTTTCATGGCTGTAGTTTTTGCAGTCTGGTAATAAACACTGCTTATAAGACTAATAAGCACTAAAACCGTGAAAAACTTTAATAATTTTAAACAGTACTTGTAAAGAATGCGAATTCTTTTGTGTTTTTTTTTTCATTGTCTGTTCTACACTATATTTCATTATTTAGTACTTTTTTTCTTAGACTGAAGTAAAAAATATCCGTGAAATAGATATGACACTAATACACCTCAGTACGCTCTAATTGCATTGTTTTCTTTTGTGTCTATTTGACTATCATACTTTAATAGATAAATTTTGTTTCACGGGTTTAATGACCTCATTCTAGAATATTTTCACGCTTTTAGAGTTTGTTCTCTAGTAAGTCGTATCAGAATATTATCTATTTCACAGTTGTTGTTGTTGTTGTAGTTGTTAACGTTTTTGTCTTTCTGTGTRCGAATTCTATTTGTCAAAACTCTACGCTATGTTGCATTATCATAAGCTGTGCACTAAGATCCCGATTATATGAACACCCATTTCTAAATTCCAAGCTGCTGAATATGTCTTATCTAATGAGTGCTTCATGAAAACTTAGGYTCTGAGGTTGTTCTTAAGGTTTTCTGAAAAAAGTTTCTGCTCCACCAATAGTTAATCAAAATTGGGGGGAGGGAGGGAGGGAGAGGGGAGGGGTGTGTAGGTGCACAAATTAAGTGAATATATATCCAATTGCTTAGAAGTCAAATCGTAAAATTGAGGCCGGAAGGGATAGAAAAYCCTACAGCACTATTCGACTTTATAATTCAGTAACAAACTTTCCTCCGGTCTCATTGGTGGAGAGTCGACCACGTGACGCGATAGTGGCCGCCGCTGATTTGTGCTATCAGTGAATAGAGCTCGCCGCTTCAGAAAAAATGGTTGATGAATGTATAATAAAAAAAATATAGAGCAGTAAAGATCTCGGGCATTCTGCTTTGATAGTTGACCTGGAAAATGGATTTTTTCTTAAAACATGAGTCGCCGCGCCCTCGAACTGCGTTCTTGGTCGACTATTTGATCAATTATCACAGCGTAATGTCCTCGATTCAACTACTGCATTCTTTGAATATCGTACAAGTAGTCAGTGCAATAATAAGAATCAATGTTAATAGACGAATCGTAGTGACTTAGGGGAAATACAGGCTGACCAAATCTGACTATTTGCTAGCAAATTTCAATAATAGAGACTTGGACGGGTGATAACTTCTTTGCATTGGGCAAGAATGAATCAGAGATTCAAAATAGATCAGATACCCACAGCTTACTATAAAGGAAAGATGTTTTTCCTTATTTTGCAACCGTACAAATTTAAATCGTTTTTATGATGAACAAGTTATAGGGTTACAGTTTATTGGGAAACAAATTAATCAAGCACACAAATAATCAACCTCCCAAACAAACCTACACAAATATATTTGCTAGCAAATTTCAATAATAGAGACTTGGACGGGTGATAACTTCTTTGCATTGGGCAAGAATGAATCAGAGATTCAAAATAGATCAGATACCCACAGCTTACTATAAAGGAAAGATGTTTTTCCTTATTTTGCAACCGTACAAATTTAAATCGTTTTTATGATGAACAAGTTATAGGGTTACAGTTTATTGKGAAMCGGGTGCCTTGACCACKTGATGTTAGCAAAACCAACCWACCGTGACTAAGGCAGCCATTTTTCAAAACCACCTACCAACTACTTGAGAAAGGCCTCTTTAAATACTAGTTAATTGGTAGTGACCGGATATAAGAAAGTAATACTGCGTTAATTTCCTACACTTAGATGTTGAATAGAGCCTTAATGCACGCAAATATAGAGGAGTAACTTACCGTCCATCGATCATGTTGAAAACCGAGGAGATTTCGGATCTGCGCATGCGYTGGAAGAGTTTATATTTAGCCCATTCCTGGCTGGACACACCTTAAATCGCTTTAAAAGAGAAAAGAATCGCTTTGTTAGCATGGGAAGTTTGGTAGGAAGGTGCTAACAAAATGATCGCGACAGACGATATGCAAGATATACAACATGACTACTGGAGTCCTTCCCAATGCTGTAAGTTGCTATTTCAAAAAGCGTAGAATTGTTGTCTTATACCATATGAAAGGCAATACTTTGATTGTTTTTTTTATCTATATTTTTTTTTGCTTTAAGGATAATTGAAAAACAATGCAGCAATTTTGATGTCAGTTCTTCAGCATAGATCTCAATCCAAAAAAGAATCGATCTGTTATACCCTTCCAAAAATACACTAGGTCGATCGGCACGATATCAACTTCATACAAATTATCATAGATTTTGAACAGGGGAATTACACGATACTACTAGCTAGACGATTTGTTGTCAAGCAGTTTATTATTCTAAAAGTCAACGAAGAAATGACATTCTKTGCATGCAGTCTTTATCGCTTCTGCTGATGTAGGGAAGTAATGGAGGAGAAACTGACGATTCTATTAAAAAAAACGCAACAGACGACCTGCAAAAACAGCAGTCTAGGATCAGTTTTGTATAGAGAACAACAATGAATCCAGTTGACAAAGGAGGGAGACTATATTTACATTTCACACGCTTTTTTCCAGATCGGATCATATGATTTTAAGATCTTTGTCAACTGCATAGTGAACACTTAAAAAAAATAGCTGTTCATATTTTCGGCCTTTGCAAGTTGTTTTSTGATCATGAGTGGCCTGGGGACATGTCCTTGTATTCAAACGTTATGGGTTTGAGAGAACGGACTCTTGAAGCGAGTTTAATATGTACTTGTGAAGATATCTTGTTAGATAAGATAGWTTTGGTCCTTTATTGAGTACATTTGATGCAATTAAATCAATTAATCCTCGCAATCAATGTAATAAATTGTTACAAGGGTATTTTATAAGATAAATTGTGTCTAGTTTAAAGAGGAATGCTTCACAGAATTTCGCAATTGTGTTGAAGTAATACGAAAGCAATACGGGCAATTGCTTTCCTGAGWGGATTTCAATTGGACTAAAGCCATAGGGTCGCGCAATAATCAAACTCTTACAGAATGTCATCTCAATACAGAATAGTTCATAACATCGCAATTGATTTAGATAAAAAGAAAAAGAGCTGATTTTGTAATTTTTTCATTCACGTCCACTAGCAAGAAGTTAGCATTTTTGATAGGCCATTTGCATGATGACGTCATATGACTACAACTACCAGAATGCTTTGCACACTTTCGTTTTCAAAGTAATTAGTCCCATGCCCCAGTTGTTTGGTTAATCTCCAAAGAGATGGCAAATAAAAATCTGAATAAGAAAGAAAATGCGCAAGGCTTTCTGGTAGTTATATAAACGTTACGGATGACCTTTATATAAAGGACCATGACCATAGCAAAGGTTTCAAGGTTTGATGCCTCATCATTGACCAATGCAGGATGTCAACCGTTTGCAGTGAAGCAGTCATAAAGGTTTCTATTTTACCTATTTTCAAGGCCATTTCTCCAAGAATCCTAACGGGTTTGAGTTTCAAGTTTGTGTTGAGTTTTTGAAGCCGCGTACGTTACATTACTCKCGAGTTTTTGAATTTTGCGAATAATGCTATACTTTAAACGTTTATAAAGCAAAAGTACAAACTCCATTGCTTAAAATTTTATGTTCATTGTTATCTTTGAATTACTTTTTATCCATTGTAAACGGACATATCATAAAACTCTTATTAATCGACCTTGCTTGGTTTGCATAGAAAAATCTACTCTTTGATATGTGTGTTGTTATTATGTGCTTCCTCGGACCGCGGTCTAGATTTTTCTATATCGATATGCTACGCGCTAGGTTGATAAGTCCTGATTATGAATGTATATGATTCTTTAGATCCTTGGCGAGTCAACCAGCTTGGAGGTCGATATATCAACGGAAAACCACTTCCCTTYGAAACACGGATGCAAATTTTATATTGCGCAAAAAATGGTGTTCGCCCGTGCGACATCAGTCGRCAGATGAAAATAACWCATGGATGCATCAGCAAACTTTTGTCAAAGTTCAAAAAGACTGGATCCATGACTCCTGGTTCAATCCACCAAGAAAAAACAGCTTTTTATGAACTWAAAAAGATGCAAAGAGACTTTGAAGAACGAGAAAGAACCTTGAGTAGTTTACCTATYAGTCTACCGCCCACTGCAATTCCTGAAACCGAGGTCCAGTTAAATGACTGTCCTATCATAGTCAGTGCGAACCATGTAAGCAAAGTCTTGCCACACAGACATGGTAGAACTGAAGAAACCCAAATAGCGCGCGAATCGCAAGGAAAGGAAAAAGCTATTTTACATCCTTACAAGCATTCTATCGACGAGATATTAAAYAAGAACAAGACAGTTGGCACGAATGCAAAAGCACAAGCAATTGGCGGTAAGTCGAAATCACCTAAAAAGCAGTGTAAACAAGAAGATATAGGTTGTCTTTTAAGTGCCCAGGCTTGAATTTTTAATTCAGTAACGCTACCCAGTTTCCCCGAACTTATTGCGTCGTTAAATTTAACAAGCAAAGAAAAAAAATACGATAAATACTAAAAAAAAACATCTAAAAAAGAAGAGATTGATTTCCTTCAATGAACAGATAAATCGATCCTTGTTTTTTAGTGACATAGTCTCACTGAAATATTTGCAGATATTGTCGATTCAATGGTCTATACAAATTATTTGCCAACAACGTCTAAAGTTAAGAACACCGGCGTCGCACCTCGCAAATCAAGCCAGCGGACTCAYTTTTCAAGAGAACAGCTAAGGATCTTGCAAGATGAATTTATGATAAACCAGTACCCTGGACTAGCTGAAAGGCAAAAGTTGGCAAGAATTCTGGACGTGAGAGAAAACAAAATAAGGGTAAATTCTGAAATACTCCAGTTTCGAGATCTTGTTTRTGCAGTCTTAACCTCGAAAGCATGTAATGTATTCTTTTATTAAAGCGGAGATCCTATTGTAGTGTAAACACTGTGTAAAGACGGCAATAAAAATTTATACTCAATTGGAGTTCAGCTTGCACAAAAGAGAATTCGAAACTGGAGTTTTTAATACATCGTTAAACTAAAACCTCGACCCACAATCCAATCCCAGGGAAATCTACACTGTTTCACTGTTTTACAACTAGCACAATCAACATCTATTTTGACCTCTAAATCCAGGAAACATCGGGACTTTTAATTGACTAATGCGTCAAATTGACAAAAACCTATGCAGTTTCTATAACCCTGACACAAGGAGAATGATCGACCAAATATCGACCAAAACTTAAAACCTGTGAAAAAAAAAAAAAAAATGGAAGAACGCAGCACTTAAGAAAATGTTGGTCACCGGTTGGAATGAGGAAAAAATATCGTGCCGAAAAAACTCTTTCCACCAATTAATCAACCAAATTTAAATGGTCCTTCCCTAGCCCGGTCAACACTGATGCGTTTTTGTAAGGGTTTGGATATTCTTTGTGGGATAAAACCACAATGGTCTCTAMGTCATAYTAGCTCGAAAACTATGGAAACCAAGGCTTGTTGCCCTTTAATGCATAAAATCTTGACTTATCATTAAATTCATGGTTTTCAAAGAAAATTTCAACATCTTCAAAATCACAATATTACTGTATAGAGGATATTGCATGGGCSCGCGGAGATATGAATTCTCTCACCTGAGGGATATTTTCAACACGAGAAGATRRAATTCGTATCTACAAACRACCATGTAATATTCTGTTTAAGATACAATCGTCTATGAAAACAAATTATGTCGTAAAATGCCTTTTTTCACCTCCAATGTATAGAGATACCAGGAAAGAAATTGATAAATATATGTATTCATAGATTTTTAAATGATAAAACGAAGTATTTCTTTTCTGTTTTTACATGGCATGGAAMTTAAGATTTTATTTGTTTGTTTTCCTTTTTTTTATTAGATTTGGTTTTCCAATAAAAGAGCTAAGTGTAGACAAAGCACTAAGGAAGCACATGAAAGCCACAGAAGATATGATCAGCAGGTTGAAAGCACCAACTATACTTATACGCATTGTCAGTGCTGTATGCTCCAAAGATAGCAAGCTGTTTTACTAATGGCCTTGACCGTGCTTCAATACCAAACAATTGCCTCAGAAAATTTGTTCTTTGTTTCGAAACCATATATGGCAATCTTACCTTATTTGGAAGTACAAGTGGACGGGTGTTTGGCGASGTCTTTCTCGACTTTTCCATGAAATCGATCGTCTGAAACTTGTAAACAATATAGCGAAAACTATTCTGAACAATCTTCCATTCTGTTTGTTTCCACGTACGGCATAAATTTACTTAAGAAAGGCTAAAACTAAATTACACAGGGATCTTGCACGAATGATATGCAATTCTTCGACATGCAATGATCTYAACTCTAACAAATCCCCATAAATTTAGCTATTACATTTACTGAAGAATGATAACGAATAATAATGAGCAAT